AAATAACATCAAGAGTCTGGATGAAGAAGATCACTACAAATACCTGGGCATCCTCCCGGCTGACAACATAAAGCACACTGAAGTCAAGAAGGTTAGTAGTGAATACATCAGGACTGTGCAACCAACCATCATCATCATCATCATCACCATCATCATCATCAATCACCCCCAGTGAGGCACTACCTTGAAGTAGTTGTGGGGCTTGCATGCTCTAGTCATAGGTGAGTTAAAGACTGCATATTCATACTTACCTCCCTTCAAAGCTCCACAATATGAATAGTCATCATCTACACCATGACAAACAATACTCTCCCATTCGAAGGCTCTTAGAGGTCCATTCCACAAGCGTAGGCGTGCATGCACAACTGTTAAATCAGCCTCTATAAAAATAAGTAGGTTACAAAAAGATCATTGATAATTTTATTATTCCATTGAATATACTGTATGTCTATCTCTCTCTCACACACATATTCCATATATGTGTATGAGAGAGAGAATGACAATCTGACCATTTTTTAAATTCCTTTAAATCCATGGGATTTCACAATACATTTTGTGTCCCAGAAGAAGACATCAATTGGAAACATATTTATAAATACATTTATAAATGGTGACAACAAAGCCAGAGGAATGATAAATATGTTGTTATGTTGGATTATACACTATCATCCTTGCAACGAAACTTGGGCACTAATCAGAGACCTTCCACCAAATAAAGCAACGAAGTGAATTGGTTGGTTAGTAGGTAGATTTCTTATAGCTTTTATATACGAAAAACAGAGAAAAAAATGTATTAATAATATACATATCCAGCATGAAAAAGAACTAGAGTTGGTTTCTCTGTTTAAAGGTTCTCTCTTGCACTGTAATTCAAAAAGTGGCTTACAGAAGTATTACACTACCCCTGCCCTAATTTTCAGTCATAGTTCCCAGCATCTCTCTTGCTTTACAGAATACTGACCATAAATTATGCTTTGCCAACTGCAATGAACAGATTCACGTAACAGTCTAAGAAAAAAAACCAAGTCGTTTGATGGCTTAGCAGTACACCAGTGTCGTCCAAACTTGGCCACTTTAAGATGAGTGGACTTCAACTCCCAGAATTCCTCAGCCAGCATTGAAGTCCACTCATCTTAAAGTGGCCAAGTTTGGACAACATTGCAGTACACCATGTAAATTCAGTCATTGATTTGGGAATAAGGCCATTGAACTGAACAGGGCTTAAACATGTGCAGCATAAGGCTTGAACCAATACTTCCATAGTGAAGGCTCACTTAGGAGAAATAGCTGTCTGAAAACATTAATGAATATGAAAGGTTAATGAATATGAAAGTGAATATGAAAGAACCACCACAAGGTTGATTTGATTGCTCACACTCCAGCAGTCCTTAGGCATGTGAGATGTGTCCAGATAACATGAAAGGCACAGAAAGGTGAGCTAAGGAGTACCTCCTTGCACTTCCATGACCATCACATGTCAATTAGGTATTTTGTACAAGTGCATACTCTTAATACGGCAGTATCTTCATTAGGATCAACTATATGGCATAAAAGAGTGGTAGCAACCATTTTTATCAATAATATTTTATCGTTTTAACTGATCATCAGTCTGTGAATATTCGATGATTGCTTTATTGTATTTATTATAAGCTGCCTAGAGTTGTGAGAAGAGTGGCATACAAATTCTTATAAATAAATATTCATACCTTTGAGTTCTTCAAAGCTCTTCATTAGGAAAAAAATTACAAAAACAGAGGTGGGGAAGAAGCAAGAAAATCCAAAAACTAGGCCAGATGTTTCAGCCATAAGGCTTTGATCTAAAGTCAGTCACTAGAAGATAAGTAACTAGTGTAAATTCTGTCAAGGTCGGGTTATTCTTAGCATTCCAAAACCTTTCTTCCTTTGTGAGCTGTTTTTCAACCATTGTTTTTCATCTATGGTCTGAAGAGACTTTAGTTTTAACTCCATATCTTTTAGACTTCTAAGGAGTGGAATAAATAGGTGGGTTCATATACTGTGTTAAACTAAAACTACATAAACCATATTATGGTGTAGCCCAACACAATAGCTTGCAAAGTTTGGTTTGTGTATCAAATGTTTAAGCCAGAGAATGATTTATTTGGTTTGGCTTAGCATGTTGCATAAACCCAGCCAGTATGGCTTATTTTTCATGAAACATGGTTGAGCGCTGTGTATGAACCTAACTGCTGGGGCTCATTCAGAAAAACATATTCAAAAGCTATTATGGCCTACCGTGATGTAGAGATGTAGCAGTGAGTTGAATGAATGTTAGCTCTGCAGTAGTCGAAAGCACTTTGGATTTTTGTAAAAGTCCCTGTCTGTCTTAGTTCCCTCATGCATCCCAATAACAGCTTAGGAATACTGAGAGTCAGTCCTCCTAGAAGGATTACCATATATGCAGTCTCATGAAACACTGCAGTAGATGCAAAGATCAGCCAAGTCTGGTGCTTGACCCTGAATAAGTAGAAGCAATTTCCACTAGCAGAAAGTAACCATCAGATCCAACCCAGCAACAGGAAAAAATGTTCAGTGTGGCATATTTGCTGTATAGGTAGTCCTCACTTAACAATGGAATTGGGACTGGAATTTCCATCACTAAGTGACATGGTCGTAAAGCGCAATGTCACGTGGCTACACTGTTTAGCCATGGCAGTTCCAGCACTCCTGGTTGCTATTGTTAGGCAAATCGTGCAACATTGTTAAATCCAACACATGGTCACCATTTGTGAACGCCTGCCAGTTTCCCCATTGACTTTGCTTTGCTTTGCCACGAAGCTGGCAGTGAAGATTGCAAATGGCGATCATGTGGCCCTGGGGACACTGTGACCAACATAAGTACAAGGACCGGTCATAAGGACTACTCGTTCAGTGCTATTGTAAGTTTGAACAGTCACTGAACGAGTGATTGTTAAGCGAGAACCACCTATAATGGAGAACAATTAAGTCTGGTGTGGTTAGGAAGTAAACTCACTTGGAATCCAGAAAATAGTACCCTGCCATTCTGAATGATCCCTTAACCGACATGGCTTGGGTGAAAAGAAGAATGTATCAGTCCCAGGAACTGCAAGGCAAACAAATTAAATAAAGTAAAAAAATTCATTTTTTAAAAAATGACATGAATCTTTGGCCATTCCTGTTGGACTAATAAAATACACAACTAACATACTCTTGAAATTAATATCAATAAATGTTGATCAATACTTTGAGTCAGTTTGGGGGTAGAACAAACTAGCAAGACAATACTTAATCAGGATAATATAGAACTATTGCAGCTAGAAAAACAGATCATATAAAAAACAAATACACAGTTTAGCAGTTCTTCTGGCCCTGCAGCTAACTGAAGCAGCTGAGGTTGCAACAGACATAACCTAGACACAGTAATATATTTAGAGCTTTAAAGTTTCCTTGTTTCTCATCTCTGTGTCCATGTCCTTTGTAGATTATTCTATTTTTGCTCTTCTACAAAGATGCTCTACAAAGCATGTGACCTACCAAGTAATAAGAAGCCATTCTCATGAATGGTGATGTACTAGAGCTTTCAAAATAAGAGAAGGAAGAAGTTGTTAAGCCATACCAGGCCATATTCAATGGCTGAACTTTTCCTAGTAGATCTCAAGTTTCATGGGGCAACCAAAACAAATATAATATACTATCTTTTTCTTCTCCAAAACAAATATTTAAACAAGTTGTCTTTCTGCTTTGTAGGTTCTAAAACATGGTACAGTAAGTGTAAAAGTATGCCTGCTCCTTGTAGAAACTAGGTGTTTCACTGTTCCCACTGCTTGGTCAAATATGATATTAATTACATACATTCAGCTGACCCTATTCATTTTATTTAAATTAGAAGAAATGTTCATGATCTTCCCCCAAAGTTTAAACTAATTTAGTTCTGTAAGTGAATTTACAAAATGAAAAATAACTTTGGTGCCAATTCAAGGGGTCCTGAGAGCAAAAAGTTTAAGAACCACTGTACTAGAGGAACCTTTTCTCAAGCATTTTCTGTGACTGCCAAAGTTATCTACATTCGCACACACATTTTTTCCGTCTCTGCTCTATGAAACTTTCAGCTCATGGCATGAGTGTTTGGAGGCTAGAGCTATCTGATCTGAGCTACAGACTTCGGGATTACTACTAGATGGCAGCAAAATGTTAGGATTTCATATATCTCTTTGTTGCCATCTAGCAGCTGTCCAGATTTTTGAAGCCCAAATCTGGTGGTCCAACTGGAGGCAAAACATAATTTCTACTACTAAGGATAATCTTCTGAATGCCTAGGTTATTTTCATTGAATAGGACACTATTATTCCCATTTGTGAAGACAGGAAATCTGCCTAAGTCTGATGGTTGAGCCACATCATGACAGATTTCCCAGACTACAGTCATGTACTCATTTATCAGGGAAATAATCTCCTCCTTGTGAAGGGAACTTTCTTCTGAATAAGCTAACTTCTCAGGAAATGTATTTATTTTACTTATTTAAAAGATTCGTATGGCCACCCATCTTAAAACACAACTCTGGGTGGCTCACAACAGCAATAAAACCCCAGAACCATAAAAAACTCCATAAAACTATAAAACTGTAAAAGTAAAACCCAAACCTGGTAACACTAGTAACATTATAGGGAATTATGCCTAAAGTTGACATATCAACTTTTTTAAACAATTGAAAAAAAGAACAGTTAATTAAATGGCCAGAATGTCACAAGATCTCATATAAAAACATAGATTTTGTGAGATTTATTCTGGATATTTCCTTTTTAAAAGATGGCTTTTATTATGCTTTAATTTTGGAAGTCAACAGGCATTATCTAGGCAGAAGATGATAGAGGTTGTTTACTCCTCAATAAGGAGGATTCAGGGCTACCATAACATTGTCAATCCCTAGAACAGATCTAAATAGAAAAGCACTTTCTCTGTTTCATAGCTACCTGACAGGAATTTCCACTGAAATTATTATACTGACATCACGGTAATGTAATGTAAGTTATAACTTTTTAGGGTAAAGACTTGGGATATCTGTTTAAAATGTGAAAACCATTGTGTGATGCTGCAGTCATAAGGTGACAAGTGTGTATGTGTGGATTTGACACCAGTTTAGCCAAGAACCAAATATTGCAAATACATTTGAAGTAAGGTAGAATTTTGTCTTTCTAGGTGGTGCATTTTTCTATTTCATTCTTTGATTTGCAAAAAAAAAAAAAAAAGCAACTTCAGTTTTGAAGTTAAAAATCTGTTTAGGTTTAACAATTAGCTTCATTTTCCTAACCAATAGCAATTGTAAGATTTTTTTTTATTAAGAATTTGAAATCATAAAGCATCAAATCATTGTTTTCATTTTACAGAAACCTGCTTTGGCCTAGATGTTAAATCAAAAGTGAAACGCATGTGAAATAGACAGAAATTGCTAATGAAGAACATACTGGAGACCCAGTGCAGTATCCTATAGTCTTAAGACAAGGAAATTGTCTGTCTCAGACTGAGGGACAAACTAGCTAAGGAAACAAGGGCACGTTAAGTTAGTTGTAGTTTTGCAAACAGAAGAGCTTTTCCAGCTCAAAAGCTCCACACACATTTACTATTTTCTAATGAAAATTGTGCATCCTAAATTGTAGGGTCTCCCATTAAGTGTAAATGACACAAAAGCTAGTTTTGTCTGGGTTACTTCAAAAAAGAAGGCAAATGGGGAACACCTCACTGAAGGCACAATGGTTTTTCAAGTTTTTGTGTGTGTGTCTTTAAGTCAGTGACTCCCAGGGACTGCCTGGACAAGTCCCTGCAGTTTTCTTGGCAAGGTTTTTTGGAAGTGGTTTGCCACTGCTTCCTTCCTAGGGCTGAGAGTGATGGTCCCAAGGTCACCCAGCTGGCTTCGTGCCTGAGGCAGGACTAGAACTCAGTCTCCTGGCTTCCAGCCTGGTGCCTTTAACCACTACACCAAACTGGCCCTCTATTCAAGTTATAACAAACTGGCTTTCTTTTTAAGTTACACATACCCTATTTGCAAATATATAACAAGATAGGAAATGCATAGATACTATGCAATCTGGCTCTAAATTAGTGAAAAGCACAAAAAAATCTTGGAGTTCACCAGAATGAAGACGCAATGGCAGTCTCCCCAAAATGATAAAAACAGATCTCCTGAGCTGTTTCCAGCACTGTCCAGGATGCATTTTTCAGGCTATTTTAAAGAAACAGAAATGAGAACAATAACGAAGCAGGAAGAAATCTGAGGGCTTTTGCAAACACTATTAAACAAAGGCATGGTGGTGCTTTACTTACCACAATAGGAATAGAAAATATCAATGTCACTGGATGTACAAAGCAGTTGTTTTTCTGGTGCCACAGTAAAGCCATAAACAGAAAGAATTATAACAAGCTTGAACAAGTTTAGATATCTCAACGCCATCTTGTCAGCAACTAAGTTACTTAATTTCCAGTTAAAAGAGGAACAACGTTAGGTTTCGTCACCCTCAGACAAGATTTTTTTTTAAAGGGGAATAGCTATGTTATGTCTTAATCCATACCAAAACAATTATCTGAAACTCTGTTCCAACATTCCACCTATTGTTTCAGAAGTTGTGAAATGTATTTTACCCCTGTGGCTATTAGTGAATCATAAAAATTATAAAATTAATTACAACATTGTAAATAATTATATTTTTATTTTATTATTTTATAATTATAAAATTATAAGAATTACAAGATTATAAAAAAATATAAACATAGAAGGTACAGCACTACATTCATCCAAGCTTGATTTGATCATGACCGACAGGAGGCAGACCCTCAAGAAATTTTGGCTTCTCGATCCAAGAATTCAGCTGTTTTGGCACCTGATATCCCCCCATCCTTCTCCTCCCTTCACCAGCATTTTAGGACCTTATATATGCAGGAAGAACCACCCAAACCTGACCTAGAGCTTAATGAGAGTTTGTTCCCATGGTGGTCCTCTTTAATAAGCTCAGAAATAGCAGATTTAGTTAAATGATTCAAGTCTGATCTCAACACTGCCAAAATTCTTTGTAATAATCTGGATTCCTGTTGTGGCCTCCCTATTCACATTTATACACAGTAAGGCTCTGATCCCCAAAAGAATGGGGTTTAGCTTTCATAGTTGCTATCTACAAAAAGGCAACCAGGATATGCTTAGTAATTATCAGCCCATTAGCCTCTCTAGCATAATAAGCAAATTGCATGCTAGGAATTTATTCAATTGGCTAGAGTGGGTAGAATCAGGAGATATTCTGACTGAAGAGCAAGCAGACTTCAGAGCTCGGGACTCAATTTTAGACCATAGCTTATTTGAAGCAGTTTGTCAAAAATACACTTTTAGGCCTGGATTTGTGCTATATATAGCTTTTATTAATTTTACATTCACCTTTGACCTTATTCCTAGATATAAATTACGGTATAAATTTAAGAGTTCTACCATAGACAGAAACATTATCTAAGTTAACAGATAAGTCTTGCTTATATATAAATTTTACAAGAATTCTAGTTTAAGATTAGGTGCAGTATGAAGGGCCATTACACCAAGACAATTCCTACTAGCATGAATTAAGCAGGGATGCATCTTTGTCCCACCACTGTGGCACAATTGTCAAGTGTCTAGCAGCCAAGATAAATAATCATACTCATCATTCTCCAAAACTGAAGGATAGACATACTGCAATCCTATATGTAGATGATGCTATGTTATCTCAGGTTCCAATCAGCCAAAAGTGAGTCATGCATTGCAACACAGAAGTGCTCAAAATTAATTATACAAAACCTAAAGTTTAGTGTTTGCCAAGCATCCTAAAATTCATGCCTGGCAACTTGAATAGCCACTCGATTGAACGGGTTACAATCTTCACATATTAGGGAATAGTGTTTCGTGCTACTGGTAAACATAGGGCACATATGGAGTATATTGTTCAAAAACCACAGAAATCAAGAGTGCTGCCACTTTCTATTATTCTAGAGGTGCATGATTCATACCTGCTGCACTAAAAGTATTTTTAACTAGAGTTCAGTACAACTTCTATATGAAGCCCAATCAGAACTGCATAGCAACTTTATCCCCTTGGGAAGAGTGCAATCTAAATTTTTAAGGAACACTTTCCAGTTTCCATGAAGAATTCCTAATGTGGTTTGTGCCAACATGAGCTAAACTGAGATTCACATTTGGACATGCATCCTCTCATATTGACTAAAACTACTTTTTCCCAGTGGCTTGCCGATTTTAACTGATAATTTTCTTTCATCCTGGTGTAGGACATTGGCTGAGAAACTGAAATACTAGTTTCTCACTGGACCACGGGACACGAGCATGCAGCAACAGCAGCCCTTAACAATGTACCACTGATCCAGAAAGCCAATTAAATTGGGCTACTCTGCCTAAAGATGTGTTTCTAGGTAACTACTTCCTTTTTTCAAGCTGGCAAGATATTTAAGCCAAAGAACAGTTCTCAAATTCCAAAGAGCCCTAACTCTGGGAAGATTTCATGTCCTTTCAACAGCTGTTATTCAGAATAAATTTTGTGATACTCCATTTGAACAAAGATTTTGACTTTGTGATAAAAGAGTTATTGGAACATAGTTGTAAAACTTGTTTAACAATATTGCTGTTATTACAAAGATGCCCAGTTATAGTTAACCCTTCACAGTGTTAGATTTCCAGCCATCCAGACTCATTCTATTTACAGCTATTATTGTCTGACCAATGTGATTTTATTTCTTTGAATATGGTTTTGTTTCAGTATTTGTAAAATATGCTGCATTTTGACCACATAACTTTGATAATTATCTAATCTTCTAAAATTTTAATTTACTGTCCCATAACTTATCCTCTCCTTTTAAAATTGGTCAGTGATCATAATCATTATTGTATTTGTACTATTTTATCAATAAAGGAACAGAAACAATTGCAAAAACACATTCATGCAAATTCACAGCTTTGATAATAAAGATAATCCACATTATTGCAGGTGTGGTAGCTCTATTTTAATAGAAAGGTATTTTGTGATTGTCTACTACAGTAATCATTTTCCTTCTTTCCCAGGCCAATCATTTCCTGAAAGAACCACACCCACCCTTTCTGTGTCTAGACATCTACGTGTCATGGCCGTGCTTTCAAAAAGTTAGGCAGCCATCTTTCTAGTTACTTTTACACATATATAAAGCATACACTACTCTGTTATTGAGCTAAGGTCTTCCCTTTTGTGAATGTGATCATAAAACAGTATTTGGCTATGATCAGGATACATAGCCATAACCTAGTTAGGCACATTACATGAACTAGTTAGTTATCACTTCAGGGCATCATTACAAACCTAGAAAGTATGCATGTAAATTACTTAACCAAAGGTAAATCTGGCGAGTATAGCCTTAATGTTCTTCAGAGTAAGACCAACCATTCTTCTCACGTAACAGAAAGCATTTTGAAGACTAAGCTGGATGACTGATCAATCTACCCTTTTACTTGCTGACCATTTCAGACAAATTTTCCCAGACATGATTTACTGGGCCCTTCTGTGTACAAGACTTGTGCTCTACTACCAAACTATATTCCTTCTTACCCTTTAAGGCTGGCCAGGGATCATTGATCCTGTATGCGCACTGGAGTAGCAGGCAGAGTTGCCATCTTTGCATGAATGATATGTAGAATGGAAGGTTTATTTCCGTGTAGACCAGGTTTGTAACATCCATCCTTCAAAGGATATAATTTCAACTGTTTTTATTCACCAGTCTTCCCGAGATGAAACAAGTCTTACCACTGTTGTCACTTATGCCAGAACCAGAGAATACTATGGTTTTATTACTATTAACTCTTGTGATATTTATTCATATGAATAGCCATAAGAAATATTAATAAAATCAATGCGTGTCAACAATCCAAAATCATAGGAACCCTTCACTTAAGAACATTTTTAAAAGAAAAAAACAATAATTTGTGTATCCACAAGCTGGGAGTAAAGGTATTTCACTTATTAGAAAGCCAATTATGGCTCTGTATTTATTTAACAAAGGGATGCTTTTCGAATATTCCAGAAGGGGGCCTTCATTCAAAGGTGTCATACTGGGATTCAGGTAATGAGTCCCTCTAGTGGTTTCGAGTGGCAAAAACCTTTAGCTTCCCATAATTGTAAACTGTAACTCCCTCAGTAACAGAGTTTTGGAAAATCTGAAGGCCACCTCAATACGCAGAAACTTAAAAAATAAAGAAATAAAAACATGTATTCTTAGAACTGAGGGAGGAATTCTTTGGGGACTGCATCAGTCCACCTGTGAATTGGATGATTGTCCTTGGCTGCCCTCCATATGTATATTTATTGTTATTCTTTTATTCAGTGTTCACTGATTAGCCACCCAGAGTAACTTATGTGAGATGGGCGGCCATATAAAATGATCTAGGGCTGTATCTATGGGGTGGGGATTATTTTGTAATGAACTCCAGTTCTATTAATCAAAAGCACTGCAACATCTCAAAAGATCAATGAAGTGGCCTGTAGTTCACAAACACCTGGGGCATAAGAAATTACTGCTATATTACTTTATAGTCTTTTTGCACAACAGACTAACAAGCCTATTCCTAAAACACTTTTAATCACAGTCATCAATATTTAAATGAACAAAGCTAGAGTAATGGAGAAAAAAACAAGATTAAGTCATCTAGAATCTGTGAAAGAATTCTGAATAGCAAGTAGAAATAAGGTAATATATAAAGATTTTGACATTTTAGAATTCTATTCGTCTTCTGAGTCATTTAAATCAAATTGAAAGGGTTTGTCATAACCCATAAGATGGTTGTAGTCTTGAGGATAATGAAAAAGGAATGGGTTAACAAACATTGCTCTCTTTTTAGCATAAAATGTTGTGAACAGCTTGCTGATGTCTGGAACAGTCACATCTTTCTGATGGAATAGAGTTTTCTTTTCTTTCAAAATACCACTGTATGTAATTGCTGTGTATGTGTCTGTTTTAGCTTTATGGTACAGTCGGATGACATACCTTTTAGTAAATAAATGGAAGAGAAATGGTGTCAGGAAAATAAAGAATAGTGTGGCACTATAAAAAGCAATTTCCGAGTAGAGTTTGTCAACATTTAAGCCAAACTTGAATATGATACCAAACAACATAGAAGCAGTTATTATGCTGGTGGTCAAACAGAAAATTTTCACTCCTGCAAGAAAAAGAACGAGATTTTAATAGTTAAGAGGTTCAAATTAGTTCCCAACCACACATAATGGCATACATTCAAAAATGACACTGTTGTACATCCATTTACATCTTTGGCTGGGAGGGCCACCTTCTTACATTCAGCAAGATTGACTTCTGAATTGATGTACTTCAGGTAACAGAGCTAAATGAAATCTTTAGCAATCTGCAGCTGTTTGAATGAGAAGCCGAAAAGGGACACTTGCTGCAGCTGTCATCACTCCTATAAGAAACCAGAGCTTTTCCTGGGCTTACATGGCAGCCAGAAAAAGGCATACAGGTAGTCCTTGTTTAGTGAGCACAACTGGGACTAGTAGCTCCATTGTTAAGTTAAGCAGTTGCTAAGTGGAAATCACTGACTAGGGCTGTGCCTTCCTTTTCCCCACTCCCCCCACTTTGGAATGCTCACCCTTGGGGGGCTGGGATAGCTGGCTCAAAACTGACAAGACTAATCAGTTTCACACCTTCTAGTTTTGTTTGCCTGCTAACCACTCCCACCCTTTGAATGTTCACCCCAGTAATTAGCACAAAGGGAATTAATGTTTGTATTTACATTCATTGGAGAGGAAGGGATTATAAGAGAGTAAGCAGGCGCACAATGGAGAATACATATTGAAAGCAATGCGGTAGTGCCAGCAACCCCGAGCAGTGAGCATGCTATGCAAATAGCCCAGTGTATTCCCCATTGTGTGCCTGCTTACTCTCTTGTAATCCATTCCACTCCAATCTCTCTGCTTTGCAGAGTGGGGAGGGAGAAAAAAACCAAGCAATTTCTGTAGGCAATCTCTCCTGTACCTGACCCATTCCCCATCTCACAGAGTGGCGAGATTGGAATGGAAGAGATTACAAGAGAGCATCCCTTTGTTATAAATAGACGCCCTGCTAGGCAACTAAGATATACACCACTGAATGTTAAGAATTTTTTAAAAACATCAACAGATGAAAAACAAACAAAAAATGTTTTGTTTAAAAAAAGACTCTGAAAAACAGCTAAGCTGGGTGGGGCTTCCCATGTTGACTGATAACTAAGAACTTGCAGTAGTTCCAGATAGCTACAATCAGTGGTGAGGGCTGCAGAGTGATATAGTTCAGTAACATCTGAAATTTATTTGCTTTAAATTTACAAAAGTAACGTAGGTTTTGAAGAGTCGCATGTTCGCCTCAGAGTTAACACTTAATGAGTTCAATGAAACTTGTTCCTCCAGATATACTGGATACAAAGTCCCATAACTGTCAAAAAGCATGGCCATAAAGGTCACAAGAGTGGTAGTTAATTGCATCTAGAGTGTATCAATTTGGGAACAGGAGCTTCTAAAAATATATGACTTCAACTGCACCCAGGCAGTATCTCAAAAACCAAGAGATAATAATGTAGTTCGGCTACACTTTGGATGGATGTCTCAGCTGGCCATTGCTCATTTTTCATGTGGTTGTTCAGAAAACTCTATAGAACAATATTTGCATTACAGGTAGTCCTCAAGTTACAACTGCAATTGGGACCAGGATTACTGTCACTAAGTGATGTGCTTAGTGATGGCAATACTGGTAGTCCCAGTTGTCATCATAACTCAAGATGTGTGCGTTCTTAAGCAGGAAGTAGGATGAGTCCCAGGTAAGGATCATGAGGGTGCCGCAGAGGGATGGGGAAGGCCCTAGGAGGCCCGGCACAGGCCACATGCAAGTTGGGGAAGGGGGTCCTCGGTGTGATGTAAGCTCAAAAAAGCCAGGGAATGAGGCCACAGGGTGCATGCAATCGCAGGAGGCTGTGGAAATAGGGGGTGGGGGTGCGTCCTTGCATGTGTGACTGCAGGGAGGCTGGGGAAAGAGGGCACGGGGTGTGTGCAAGTGAATAGGGGAATAAGAGTGTGGTATATGCGTGTGAGCAAAGAAAGGCCGGGGGGTGGGGAAAGACTTACCCCAGCGACTTGCAATCTTTCTTGCCAGCTTCCCATTGACGCTGCTTGGAGAAAGCCGGCAGGGAAGGGCACAAATGGCAATCGCATGACTGCAGGATGCTGCAACTGGTCATAATTGTGAGCTGGTTGCCAGGCATCCGAATTTTGTTCATGCGATTGTGCAGGCGCTGAAACCCCCAGAACTTCGAGGACCAGTCATAAGTCCCTTCATTCAGCACAGTTGTAACTTCAAACAGTCGCTGAATGAATGGTCATTGAACAAATGGTTGTAACTCAAGGACTAACTATATACAAGAATGCCAGGCAGTTCATTTCCATTTTTGACTCAGGCTTACTTCAAGGCACCAGAGAACCTTGTTTAAATCCAACTGCTTCATGAATTGTCCTTATCCATCCACCAGCATTTCTTTCCTTCCAGCCACTGTGTTCCCCAAAAGACTAAAAGGACCCGTCAAGATGCCGTACAATTATTTTTGGTTTTTAGCTAGGAAAATAAGTAATTTGTAACAGAGAAAGCATCTTAATGTTCTTCTTCCTAGCAATGGTCCCAAATACCTAGGTTAAGCTATCAGTCTCTTAAATAAGAGATTTAAGTACATAAACAATGAATACATTATAGACTTTGCATACATTTCTGTATGACAAGAATTCTCACTTATGAAAAACAGTACTTTTAAAAAAAATAAAGACTAGTAAGAAGCTCTTCCCAACACACTTACCTAATACAGATCTTGATAAATTTCCAGAATAAATTAATCTTCCAAATTCTGAATGTTCCTCCAGGGATGATGTACCAAAGCGGCAGAGAGACTCTGCATGGGGAAACAGAACCTAGGGGACAAATACCATATACAACCAATAGTGTCAATATTTCTTCCAGTACATTTTCTCATATATAAACCTACAGATATATATAAACATACATACACAGCCACACTTTCTTCTAGCAACTAGCTTAAGGGACCATCCTTAGGGCAGCAGCTTGCCAATCTCAGCCAGGCTCTACTTCTAACCATGGTTCCTTTTGCTATGTGAATGAGGTATGGGCCACATGAAAGGGTAAGCTGCAGTGTCCATGATTCAGAGGTATTTATGTATAAGATTTATATGTCCACCCATCTTCTACAAGGGCCGCTAACAACAACGTACAATGATAAACAAAACTCAACAAAATTAAAACTATTAGATACCACCATGGTGCCATAACATTCCCATCCCAGATATCCTG